TGTGTTATGACTAGGTACTCTCATAAGTAGTGCATGAACCTTATGCCATCTATTTTAGCAGCTCAGAGGACTTTTTGTTCTGTGTCTTGGTTTTTGGCCAAGGCCCACAGGTGAGATGGTGTTAGAGTCTTGTAAAAGGAAAGATTTAATACTGAGTCCTATGCAAGGGCAGGTAGTTTGTTATATCCAATTCATGGAAAAGTTGGAGAAAATCATTGAAAAAAATTCAGTTCTACTAGGTACTCTCATAAGTAGTGCATGAACCTTATGCCATCTATTTTAGCAGCTCAGAGGACTTTTTGTTCTGTGTCTTGGTTTTTGGCCAAGGCCCACAGGTGAGATGGTGTTAGAGTCTTGTAAAAGGAAAGATTTAATACTGAGTCCTATGCAAGGGCAGGTAGTTTGTTATATCCAATTCATGGAAAAGTTGGAGAAAATCATTGAAAAAAATTCAGTTCTTCATTTCTAAACTCAGTGTTTTCCTTTTCCTACCTTCTTCCCCAAGAATGAAACATGACTGAGGACTCGCAGAGAAACTTTCGTTCAGTATATTATGAGAAAGTGGGTTTTCGTGGAGTTGAAGAAAAGAAATCATTAGAAATTCTCCTAAAAGATGACCGTCTGGGTAAGTTCTATAATTAAGCTTACTGGTTCTCAGTCATCTCAAATATTCTGAAATAAATGTCACCTTAAAAAGATATCCAGAGGTATTTGTTATCTGCTGTATTTTTTAGTGATAGGAGGACAGCAGAATGGTATATTTTGGGAGAAGTTATGGATTTTTCAAATTTATCTTTCACTGATACAGAGTCAGATGTTTTTGAAAGGCCTCTTAAGAAGTCGATAATATTTTTTCTCATATTCGACCCATATATTTTCTCGATTTTCAGAGGTGTCATAGCTTCTGGGTAATTTTACAACAACTTTTGCCATTTTTTTTTTTTTTATGGAAATACTGAGACTATATTATGTATTGACATTTTAGTTTCTTGTAAGCCAGTAATAATAAGGTCTGTTCTGTGGTTGACTAAAGTAAAATAAACTGACCCATAGTTAAAAATAGTGCTTTATATGCATAGTATGCTTTTGAAATTTCAAAAACATTTCCCACCTGCTCTTTGATCTTCACTAGACAGTCTATAGCTTTAAGTATGTCTCGTATTATTATTCTCATTTGACAAGTAGGGGAATTTAGGTCCAGGATGGTTGAGTGTGGTTTATTGGAAAATGTGAGGATTTGAGGGCTGACTATGTCACTCACTAGGTATGTGAACTTAGTCAAGTCACTTAACTTTTGAGTTTCAGTTTCTTTAAAACAAAACTACCCAACAAGCTTGCAATGTGGATTAAATGAAATAAATTCTATAAATTGTAACTACTGCTACTGTTCTAGGAAATGTAGTAGTCTATGCAAAATGTATCTCCTATGCTGTGAAACAGTAATTGTTTTTAAATAATTGGTGGACCACCTGGGCTAGAAATCAGATCAGTGTTGCCTTAGATTTACTGACTGTATAGAAGACTTCCTCTGAAGGAATGTCTTACTCTACTTTAAGTTTTAAATAATGGAAATGCACTTTTACATATTGTGACTAGCACAAAAAAACTAACTATTGTGTTTTTTCTTTCTCTAGATATTGAGAAGCTTTGTACTTTTAGTCAGAGGTTCCCTCTCCCGTCTATGTACCGTGCATTGGTATGGAAGGTGCTTCTAGGTATGAGACCCAAGAGTTGGAAATTTATTTTAAAGAATGTTCATTTGTCATCTTACCAGTCAGAAAAAGGAGGATTTGTTTAGGCCCTTTACTGAATATTGGATTTAACCTTAGAAGATTGAATTATTGCTCACTATGATAACCTTTAAGAAGGTGACTTCAGTGGCAAACATTAAATATTACTTTAAGAGTGTCAATTTTTTAATGATAGAAGAGAAAATAGCGTATGTTGCTGAGACAAGGTGCGGGAAGAACATTGTGCTGAGAGAAAGAACTGGTCTAGGCTTTGCTGTTCACTGGATAACCTTGAGAAAGACCCTCTAGGATTTATTTTTTGCATCTGTAAAATGAGAATATTGAGCTAAATTAACTTTCTGGTTTTAGCTCTCAATTTATCATTTCTGCGATTCCTAGCCATAGAGGTAAATTTCCAATGAGTGCTATCAGAGTCAAAAAAGGAATGGGAGAGTTTTTACTTCCTAGAGCACAGATGAATAAATTCCAATGATGGGTGGCTCAAGGAGAAGGGGAAATGATTTTGCTCAGTTTCTGTGGAAGAAAAAGTACATTAGGTGTCACAAGTGACTGGCAGCATCTCTTTTAGCCAGTGTTTGTTTCCCTCCGTCAGTGTTGAGCCTGCTAACACATGTAGTACCCACCAATTACACTCCTCCTTTCTATAAAAAAACAACTTAGAGTAATCATAGAATTCTCTTGCGAGGTAGGTATCAATATCCGAATTTTACAGATGAGGAAAAGGACTATAGGGCTAAATAACTTGCCTAAGGCCTTATAGCCCGTAAGTGGCAGAGCTAGGCTTTGAGCTCAGGTTTGTAGAGCCCATTTGAAGGAAAGATAGATTGTAGACTTCGTCTTCTTTCCAAAATGTACTATATTTTCAAGACTTGAGAAATCTGCAGTCCTAAGTCTGATTATAAACCATTCTAGAAAGCACTGCATAATGACTTTTTTTGTTGTGCATCTAGACAGTCTTTGTATACTTAAGTTTCTAGTAGGCCACTATGCAGTTAAAATCTAGAGAATGAGTGACAACTATTTTAATTTTTCCCTGAGCATTTTTTCTTAAATCTTAGTGTTTCCAGTGGCCATCAAAATAAATGCCTTTCAAGGATAACTTTTATTGGTAATGTTGATACTATCTATTTCTGCTGGGAAATACTGCCAGTGGATTAGTGGGAGGTGCACTTTTTTTACTTTTTGACACTTCCTGAGTGCCAAGGCTTATTTGGCTTTTTCATCACCTCTGTTTTCTCTACTCGTCTTCATCAGGGAAGTCTTTGTTGTTATTTTTGAAGTAGTTAAAAGCACTGAAGATTTAGAGCTGCCATGTTATATAGAAGACAGGTTGACTCTTCTTAGCACAGGTTGTTGATTAATTCAGGACTTTGTCATGCCTACTTCCTGATACCATTTTAGGTAAATACCAGAAAGAAACTTTTTAGGACTAGGTCTTAGAAAACAAGTTTGAAGTTTAACATGGAAACACTGCTACTTCTAGTAGTATCATGAGGATTTAACTACAGGTATTTAACCTGTACTATATTAGCCTAAATTTGAAGGACACTTTAGTGTATTTCTTTGGTTTTTCCAGAAGCCTGGCACAGAGTCCTATAGATAAGGCAAATAAAGATTTATGTCAGGAAAAAGAGCATTTCAGCAAGTTTGGTTCTAACATTAACATGGCATCATGTTGGCTAGAGTCCTTAGAGCTCATCCAACTTTTGTTTTCCTTAATGTTCTTTAGAATTCTGGATCTGTAGTGTTTTGCACCAGAGTGATGATCCATAGTCAAATAGACTAGCTAACACTTATAGTAGCTGAGTATATGCCGTATATTTTCTAGGCACTTTATGTATATTAATTTTTTATTCATCACAACTGTTTGAGAGAGGTATTCTTATTCCCATTTTTCAGATGGAGAAGCTAAGGCATAGAGAGATCAAGTAAGTTGCTGACAGCCACCCAGCCAGTTAATTGTAGAGCCGGAATTCAAATTGAGGAACTTTGACTCCAGAGTCTGTGCTGCTATACAGTCTCATTAAGTTTAATGAGGCTGGAATAAAGAAAATAACATGTTTTTCTTTATAGCAAAATTTAGAGCCTTAAAAATTCATTGTTACCATTTCCAACATCTATTTGACCATTGTACCCTTTTTCTCATGAAGACTCTTGGGGCCAGTGTTCTGCACTCCCATTTCCCACCTGTGAGAGATGAGGAACCAAGTACCCAGAGAGAGATTCTTGAGAGTCCTGGTGTTATCATATCTGGGGTTAGAACCTAAGTATACTGAAGGCTTATCGTGTGCTCTTTCCACTCAGTTTTCTCTATGCCATTTGTTTATAAAAAAGATGTGGTTCTTGCTCCAAAGCCCAGTGGGTAGACATCATCTTTAAATGGGTTCACAAGTGTAAAATGGCATCAAAATGTAATGTAAGGTGGCCTCAGTGAAGATTAGCGATTTCTATGGTCCTGAAGATAGGATACTTTGTGAGCCCTACCCTTGTAACTTCATTTAACGTTAAATACATCCCTGTAGGCCCTTTCTCCACATATAGTCACATCGGGGGTTAGGGCTTTAACATATGAATTTTGGGGGCACAATTCAGTTCATAGCAGGGGCCAAGTGCTAAAACTGGAGATGGGCCACCAGGAGCTAAGGGTGGGCCCAGGCTGACAGCCATAAATTGAATTAAATTATAATTGTTATGGTTAGTATCTTGATTTAGTTGACCCACTTATTCAGGGGCTTTATAATGCCATTGTTTTCTCTTTAATATCAATGATGCAGTTGCCATTCAAGTATTGATGGTATTTAAAACTTAAAATTGTTTTTGTAGTGAGAATTTCTAAAAGAGAATCTGTGTGGTAATTAAATATTTATGTGAATTCTAGTCTAATTGTGATGGGCAGCTTCTTTCAGGATTCTTTTTAATAGAGAAGAGATTCGAATTGATGCCTCAGTATTTTACCCTTTTTTTCTTGGATCTCTGTGTAGGGATCCTGCCTCCCCACCATGAGTCCCATGCCCGAGTGATGCTGTATCGCAAGGAGCAGTACTCTGATGTCCTCCATGCCCTGAAAGTCATTCGTTTTGTCAGTGATGCCACACCTCAGGTTGAAGTGTATCTCCGCATGAGTCAGCTGGAGTCTGGAAGGCTGCCTCGGAGCCCCTCCTTCCCACTGGTTAGTGGTACTGTTGTTTGATACTTAGCTCAACTCTAAACTGTTCCATCTCGCCAGCCTTTGGTTGCATCACGTTTTGCCTTACAAACTTTCAGTGACTCCCCTTTGTCTATAGAACAAAAGCAATGCATCTTTCCCTGACATTCATAGCCCTGTATGTTCTGTCCCCATCTGCCTAATTTTTTAAAAAAGACTATATTTTATTTTAAAGTGATTTTAAACTTATAGAAAAGTTGCAAGAATACTATCAGGAATTCCCATAGGCCCTTTACCCAGGTTCTCCAGTTGTTAACATTTTAGCACATTTGCTTTGCCATTTTTCCTATATATGTATACATGTATTTTTTAAACCATTTGAGAATAAGACCTGATATTTCATTACTTCAGATTCCTTCAGTGTATGCTTCCTAAAGATAAGAACCCCCCAGGTAACCAAAGTACAATCACTGAAACCAAGAAGATGACATTAATACAATATTAACATCTAATCTTCTGACTCCATTCACATTATTGGAATATTCACATTCCAATAATGCCCCTTTTCACAAACAATAAAAATTTTGTTTCAGAACTTATCAGATTTCCTATCGAGCTTTCACCCACTAGTTGTACTGTTTGTTGGTATAAAATTAAAAAAAAAAATGTTTTAACTATTCATTTAGAAATCATTTTAGACACAGGAAAAAGTTGCAAAAATAGTATAGTGTTTCCACATACCTTCATCTAGCAACCTCAAATGTTACATCTTAATTATGCCATAGTATAACTACTAAAATAAGAAAATGAGCATTGATAAAAAATTATGAACTACACTGCAAACCTTATTGAAATTTTACTGATTGTCCTACTGATGTCTTTTTTCTGGCCCAGGATCTAATCTAGGATCACACTTTACATTTATTTCCATATCTTCTTAATCTCCTTTAATCTGGGACAGTTTCTCAGTTTTTGTCTTTCATAAACTCGACATTTTTGAAGAGTACTGGGCAGTAAAGTTTCTCAGTTTGGGGTTGTTTGATGTTTCCTCATGATTAAAATTGGTTATGCATTTATGGCAGGACTACCACAGAAGTATGATACTTATTACTGTTGCTGCTAACTTTGATCACTTGGTTATGGTGGTGTCTGCCAGGTTTCTTCAATGTAAAGTTACTATTTTTTCCTTTGTAATTAATAAGTAACCTGTGGGGAGGAACTTTGAGACTGTAAATATCCATTCACTAATGATTCCTGCCTGAAACAGTTTTACTGTGCTGATTGCCAAATGGTGATATTCTAACTCTTTCATTCTGTCTGCATTTACTAGTTGGCATTTTTTTTTTAATATGGAAGGTTTTTCCTTTTCCCTCATTTATTTATTTATATCAATATGAATTCATGGATTCCTTTTATTCAGTGGCCTATAATCCACTACTACCATTATTTATTTTGTCTCAGATTCGGCCACTAAGAACCCTTCAAACTGACTTCTGTGGCTTTTTGACGAGTTCCCACCATTTTGAGTATTTCCTTTCTGGTACCAAAAGATATTCTGGGCTCATCTTGTACTTTCCCTTCCTCCCCCCCAAAATCAGCCTTTTTTTTTTTTTTTTTCCTTTTTGGGGGGAGCGTGGTATTTAGCAACCATGAACAGGACACTAGATGTGCACCTTGTCACTGGCATGGCATTGCCTCTAGGCTCACTCAGCAGAAAGAGCTAGGAAATACATTTGTTTACACACTCACATACATGTGAATACATACTCTCACACACCTATGTATGTTTATATACCTATTTATTTCTGTGTATTAATTTCTGAGTTCAGGCTAATACGTCCAATTCCAACGCAGTTTCACCCTTTCTATATTTGCAACTTCTTTCTCTGACACTTGCAAATATGCAAAAGCTCTCATTATCCTCAGTATATTTGCTTTTTTGCTCATTCCCTTATTTGTAATCAATACTGCCAGCCACCTCTTGGCCCTGGCTTGCAGGCCCCACAGGCCCTGTAGACCCTGGCTGCTGCTTTGGCCCTGATACACCTCCTCAGCCCCAGCCCCACAGGCTCCGATTTACTTTTTAAATTTCATCTTTGATACACTCCTTACTCTAGTTACTTGGACTGCTTATAGCTCTTGAGCTTGGCTATTTTAATGCAATCTGCAAATTACTCTAGGCATTTTAACAATTTTTTAGTTTGGCTAAAATAGAGTGACTTGTTCAAAATAGGGATTTTCCTGCAAGCTGTACTATCTATAAAATTTATTTTATTCTCTTATTGCAGATTACAACCTGTCAGTATAGCAGTTTGAACTTCTACTTGTTCTTTCTTTTTGAAGATAATGATGTGGTTCCTATGGACATGCACTTTTATTGTTTATCAAGAGAGAATGGCCCTGAAATAATTGGAACTGTTAACAAATTTCTTTAAATTTTACTTATCTTTGACAAAGTAGAGTTGGTAGTACTACACAGGTTCTTAAATTATATATTAAATTAGGTTAGATTATCTATTAGTTCAAGAAATGCAAATAATAGGTTATAATTGTCACCTCATCCCTGCTCAGCATGTCTGTGCTTCAAGCCCAGATACCTTTACTGCAGTCTTGGGCAGACACACTGTCAGAGTGTTGGTTTTGGGATGGGAAAAGAGCTTCCTTCCCCTTATCTTCTTTCTTTACTTCTTTTCTCTCCTCCTCTGACACATTAATTAGAGTTTAGAAAGATGCATTTTCTATGATTCTGTTATTTGACACTTTATAGAATATTAATAAAATGGAAACATGCCCCAAATGAAATACTTTTATTAAAATAGGAATTTCGATTTAACTTGGGAATTTTTAGGAGTGTGGAAAGATACTTTTGAGTTTCTTTTTTTAACATTAAAATCTCTTAGCTCTTAAATCCTAGACTAAATGTATTTTTGTATAAGATATGGTGTTTAGAAATAAAATAAGTTTTCAAGCAGATTCTAGTTTTTATAGGCTTTCTTTGTTGAAATTTACTTGAGAGTTTACTTTTATGTTCTGAGTATTGATGCAAGGTATGAAAGGTGCTATTTTTCTGATTCCTAAAATTCTAATTCTAGGGACATTTTAATTTTTTAGGTGCTTAAAAGTAGAACAAAATTCTAAAGGTATGTATGAATGCTTCGAAATAAAGAAAATGCTTTCTTAGTCCTTTTGGCGTCATTTAATTTTTGCAAATTACTTTATTGACAAGTATCTCCAATTATTTGTGCTGTGTATCACATCATTTTGAAATACTCCTCTAGCACTGAGAATATTTTGGGTGGAGAGAATCAGCACCTTGCTTCTGATTTATGTTGATTCTTTTATAGCCTTAATGTTAAAAGTTGGAAAGTCTCTGAGTGCTCATCCTGAAACCTGGGCATTCATAAACAACAGTGATTCATATAAATTTTTCTGGTTATTTATTCTTAGCTCCCCCTTGGTCTTCTCCTTAGTGTTGGACTGTGTGCTTTTGGTTCCCCTTTGATTTATTAATGCAGCCTCTTCAAAATTTAGGGGGTAAGGTTTCATTTTGTCAAAGAAATATGTATTCTTCTCTTCTGCTGTGCCTCCCTCTTGAGATTTATTATTAACCTTTCAGGAGCCTGAAGATGAAGTCTTTCTTGCCATTGCTAAGGCCATGGAAGAGATGGTGGAAGATAGTGTCGACTGTTACTGGATCATCCGATGCTTTGTTAACCAGTTAAACAAGTACCGAGATTCTTTACCCCAGCTGGTGAGGGTTGCTCTTTTGGTTGTTGATGGAGGTTGCAGGGGGTGGAATGAGCAACGGTACTGGGGGTCTTCAGGAAATACACTTACCTCCTGGTGCTGCTACAATTAAGAATAGACCTTTTAAAGTGGGAGTCAGCAAATGATTTCTGTAAAAGGCCAGATAGTAACTATTTCCAGCTTGGCAGGCTAGATAGTCTCTGTGTCTCTGTTGCAGTCACTCAGCTCTGCTGTTGCACAAAAGCAGCCATCGACAGTACATAAAAGAATGGTCATGGCTAGATTTGGCTGCTGCAGGCCATAGTTTGTGTACCCCCGCTCTATAGTATTCCTTATCTAGTATTCCTGGTCTGGAATCCACTGGCTTTATCTAGAATTTTTTTTCTGCATTAGCTAAGGTTTAAGTTGGCTGCATATACTGGAAATCCCCCGAAGAGAAACTTTACTGTTTTCTCTCATGTAACCAGAAGTCCAGAGGCGAGGTAGTTCAGAGCTGGTGCCACAGCACCTCAGTGTATCAGCAAGGATCCAGACTCCTGTCCTTCTGCTCCAGCATCCTTAAGGAGCTTCCTCTTGTGCTTACAAGGCGGATGATGGCAAGATAGCCATGACATCTGTGTTCTATGCAGGGAGGAAGGGCAGGGCAAAGACAAAATTGCAGGAGTAGAAGAGACAAGCCAGTCCAACCTGACCTCTTTTACAGACTTTCCTCTGCATATCTGTTAGTGGCAGGACTGTGTCATCGGGCCGCCCTTCTTCGGCGGAGGCTGGGAAATGTGTTTTTATTTAAGCCAAACACATTGTGATCTCTCATTAAAATAGGATTCCGTTAGTGAAGAAGGAGAGACATGGATATGAGGGAGGCGGAGGCTCTAACTTGGGAATCCAGAAAACTGAAGGCTACTTGCTTCAACAGCATAAGCCAGTGGTCCTTTACCAATATCTTTTTCTAGTTTCTTTCCTTATTTCTCTCATTTTTAAAAACAAATCTCTCTATTTTCTTAAATCATTGAGGTGTTTTATTTGAAAATTCTATTGAAAGCAGTCATTGTGATATGGGTCGCAGGACCCAATGAGGGGCTCTGATAAAGGTTGGATGAGCCATAAGGGTCACTGCTTTAACTGTATCAGTTATCAAGGCAGTTAGTAAGGCCATTCAGCTTTGTAGAGCACTGTACAAGAGTGTTTTTTATGTATTTCAATGAAATAAAATTTGATTTTTAGAATTTTAAAAGTAATTCATTTAGTTGATTTCAATAAAAATAAGCATAGCATTGAATCATCTGTATGTAATACTAGTTGCCTGATTCAGTCAAGATGTCCACATCACACTATGATTTGATTAGCTTTTCTTATTTAATATTGGAGTAAATTTGGTAGTATTTTGATAGCTTATGTTGAAAGAATTCATTCTTTATTTCTGATGACGCAAGTAATAGATAAATACATTCTATGAAGTATTTATGAAGTAATAAAAAATCCAGGCGAATTGAGTGTTCCTATAGACCTGTACAGTACTTCCCTTTTTGACTTCCTAAGAAGTAAACATTATCATTAGCTTGATATGTATTCTTTTAGACTCTTTTATGCACATTGCAATGGATAGGTGTGTGTGTGTGTGTGTGTGTGTGTGTGTGTGTGTGTGTGTATGCGCACACATGACTTATATATGTATTTTTATATATAATTGTATTTTAAAAACATATAAATATTATCACATTGTTCATATGACCTTACAGTTTTTTTTAACTTAATGTCTTGGAGGCTTTCCAAGTTAGTATAGATAGATCAGCAGTTTATCCTATTAGTACCACATGGGAGCTTTTAAAAATTACCAGTGCCTTTCCTCCATCCCGACGATTTAAGTCAGAAAATCGGCGGGTGGGGTGGGGAAGCCCTAGAATTCAAATTTTTTTAAAAGCTCCAGGTGATTCTGAAGTGTGGCTCAGGTTGAGACCTACTCTTTTAAAACTACTTTTTTTTTTTAACTTGCTCATAGTATTTATTGTTAATAATTTGCTGCAGTTTAACATAACAGATCTATGCTAACAGTCAACATGCCCTTGTCCATGTGTATATGTATATATGTATGTTTCTCTAGGGTGGGTACCTATTAGCTCAGCTGAAAGAGAGACATATTTAAAATTTTAACTGCCAGGTTGCTCACCCAAAAGCCATACCAATTTTGCTTCCCCCAAGAGATTATGAGATTTCCTATTTTCCACTCCATTGCCAGTACTTGATAGAATCTATTTCTTGAATTTTTGTTAATCTGATAGGGAAATGATATCCATTTTAATTGGCATATTCTCATTTTCTGGTGAAGTTGAACCCCTTTGAATATATTTCTTGGTCATTTATATTTGTCTGCGTTTCTATTATTTTGCTTGCTTTTTCTTTTTATTTGTAAGAGTTATCGATAAACTGGATATTTTCCCTTTGTCTGTTATATATGTTGAAAATATTTTCTCCCTGTCTGTTGTACAAAGATTTTAAGTTTTGATACAATTGGATTTGTCAATATTTTATTTTCTTTTTTTGGAAGCTCTTTCTAACCCCAAGATTAAAAAAGTTAAAAAAAAATTTCTTCTGGCTTTTTAAAATATTTACTCATTTAAAAATATAGTCCTTTAATTTGTGAGAGATTTATCATTGTGACGGTATCAGACGCAGATTCGACTTAGTTTCTTGCTGGTTAAGTGCAATACAACTTCAGCCAGCATGCTCCTCCTCCTCCCCTCTCTGCTTAACAGTTATTGTGAATGTGCTTCTTGCCAGGCAGTACTAAATTTCCTTTATTATGAATTACTTCAATTAAACATGTATCTTTGTTTTTATAGATGAGGAAACTGAAGCACAGAGCAGTTAAGTAACTTGTCCAAAGTTATATAGTAAGCATTAGAACTATCCCTTATATTAATTTGTCAGTTCATTCTTTTTTCCTCCACAGATTTGAAATGCCACTGTTGAGCAGATTTATCATGTACTAGATTTCCATATATGTGTATTTGTATCTCTTTCTAGGCTCTTTTTTTCCCCTCATTGAGCTATTTGTCTATTCCTGGGCCAATACCATGTGACGTGTTTAACATAGCTTCCTAGTATATTTTGATAGCTAGTAGAGAAAGTTCCTTTTTATTCTTTTTAAAAAATGCCTTGGCTATGCTTGAACTCTCCCTATCCCCATCTTTAATTTCCCCCACCACTTCTACTCCTGACCTATGGATGTTGCCGTTTCCCCTTAAGAACTGGATCTCTGAAAGCGAGGCCTACATGCTCACAGCATGCACCTGGGGCCTGGTGCACCCTGGGTATGGTCCGTGACTCCACCAGGGGCGTGAACCCCGAACCTTCTGCATGTAAAGCAGATGTGTTAACCACTACACTGTGGAGCCACCTGAACTTCTTTTTTTTAAGAAATGAATTTTAGAATTAGCATGACACTAAATGTCCTCTAAACCTTTATTTCTTCATCTTCGAAAAAAGTTTATTTTAATATATATTTTATAATAGTACCTAACACATTGTAGTAGACAGTTATGAAGTATTTTTTTAAGTTCTTCAAAATGTGTGAGAAAAGCTAACTTTCCTTCATGTGGCTATATGATTTTAGGCATCAAGTCATTTACTAAAACTTTTCTCTTTAGTTAAACTATGTTTAATCAACCTTGAAATTTATTACTGTTGTATAGTGGATTTCTTCTTCTTAGCTTCTTGTTAGAGTTTCTATAATCTTGGCTGTCATCTTTTCAAGTTTGTGTGGTTTTACCAAGTAAATTGGTAATCACAAAGTATAGATTGTTTTATAGTCCTAGAAAAGTTAGTGTATGATAGACAGTCATGAGCCTTTCATATCA